GGGGGGCTGACATCAATGTCATAAAATGTCTAGAGGGGGGATGGAAGAGCGATTCACAGATGTAAGAGACAGAGAGACACAAAGGAAGAGAGAAAAAAGTAAGGTGAGCTCTGTGGAAGTGATGGAATATGACATATAGTGGGGTCATGGTAGTTTGAAGTCAAAAGTCAACTAACGGCTTTTTTTACCTTTTAGCTGTATGAGTGTACCTTGCCTAGGGTGCACCACGTGGAAGCAAGTCTATCTCACACCTCATCCTATAATTTATTAACTTATTTATTTTTAATCCAGATTATGGAAGCCATCACAGGGCTCAGGGCTGCTGTGCATTTTACTTGTATTTTGTGCTAGCGATGCCTTCTAAGTCCAACTTGCATTCATACCGTCAGTAGAATCTGTTTTAGAAGTTGAGAAACTCTGTCATTGTTACGCTTCCTAGGGGAGTATTCCTTTGAAAGGTCTCCAAGATCCTTTCGTTACGTTCTCGGTCTTTCAGGGAGGAAAAATTTCTCTCCCCACAAATCTCTAACAGTATGTCACTTTATTTACCCTTGCGCTTATCATAAAGCTAGATGCATCAAATCGGTCGATCAAATTAAACTTCTGTAAGCTAATTCGAGTCTTCTAGCTATTCCCATAATGGTTTGCGTTACTATCGTTGCTTCTCTTAGGAGGCGCAGTTGGGGGCCTTCGCATTCTTCGTTAATTTCCAGCCTTAGTGAAAGCTCTCAAAACATGAAGGGGTGGCATCGTCAATGACTAAAAGAGGCTCCAGACGCACAACTGAATCGGTTTACACGTCGTTACCATCGTCCTCCGCCCCCCCCCCCCCCCCCCACCCCACCTTCTAATTTACTTCTCATTTCCCAGCTGTGACTAAACTGCAACTGCGGTATGATATTGACTTTAAGTTGACTGAATAGAATAAGGCAAAATCCGAACACTGTTTAGCCTAGATAATTTTAGAAGGGAGGGTAATTTGGTCCGACGAATTTAGGATTTTTCTATCACTTATTGGTGATTTTCTCCGCTTCATTAGGTGGAATGCCACATCACCTTTTTAAGACAGAAAGAAGATAGCCTAGAATCAATCTTGTCAGAAGTTTAAATTTTTCCCATTCGTCTTGTTTGCTTGGTTACTCCCATATCACCCACGGGCCATTACTTCGTAAAATCTGAATTGTCATATGTGTACTTTGACGACTGTGTCACCGGGTCTTAAATGGGTGAAAATGCCTTGATTTCGGCTGGCTCATCTTCTGGCTTCAGAAGTGCGTATTTTTCTCACAAGTCACGAATATGAATTTGCATCGCTCTGCTTTTGATTCATGTGATTTACGCAACTGCAAGAGCGCTATCTCTCTGTGCAATACTTTTGCTATTTATTAGCGACTTAATATGCTAATATGACAATACATTACTCTCTTCTCCCGAATCTATTCAAACACCGTCATGACTGTTGTTCTCTCGTTTCTTAGACTCTATGCTGTCAAATGCGCGGCCTGCAAAATGCCAATGTTAATGCATGAGCTGTGTATGCGAACAGGTTCCAACGAAGTCTACCACGTTAATTGTTTCCGGTGCTCTATGTGTGGTGAACAACTCCCTGTGGGTGCCGAGTACGCCCGTGACCCTTCCACTAACGCTCCCATCTGCAGGAAAAATTGTGTTCCTCGCTCTTCTTCCTCTTCCTCCATTGTTGGAAATGGAGGAGGCACCACAAGCGAGTCTGTGACCCCTTCAGCAGCACCCCTCCTCCATCAAAACTTCAATTCAGGCAAACGTGGTCGAACCACTCTCAGTACGATACAACGTGCCAGACTTGAACAGATATTCGAGACCAATCCAAAGCCTAACACCAAGGTGCGAGAAGCTTTAGCGGTAGAGTTGGGTCTTCCAGTGCGAGTTGTTCAGGTCTGGTTCCAAAATCAACGAGCAAGGGAGAAGGTACTTTCGGCGAAATCCGTTCGTTCGGCTTCTCCCTCTGTGACTGGCACTGTTGTCACCAATGTGAACAATACAATACCTGCTACTAATCCTACTGCTCCCAATTTGCCTTCCAACTCATTTGGATCCCCCGAAATCGGTATGAGAATGACTTCTTTAACTTTTTGTTTAGTTTTTGTAATTACATATGTTTTAGCAAAAGCTTGGCTCTGACCAAGTTGCTCATAATGTTTAACCTCACATTGGTAAAGTTTAGTTTCTATTGCTCATCTCAAGTCATTGGGGAGAAGGCAAAGGATATACAAGTGATAGATAGTTTATAGTGATTTCTTTTTGTGCTTTTAATACCACGTGGTAATGTAAAAACGTACAGCTTTCACTTTCGGAAGGCATCTGGTGGAGGAGAAGAACAAATTGGCCCAAGAAGGTTTGAGGCGTTGGAAGGGTGGGTGGGTGGGTGGGAGGAGAGGTTCTGAAAGAGGATCATAATGCTGTTTTGGCGGGGGAAGGGGGAGGGGGGAGGGCAAAAGCCCATCAATTGGATTTTGTGAACCATTGTCATTTTTATTGCCCGTGGAATTGTAAAGAATTTTTATGAGCTTTGATAATTAGGCAACATCTGAGTGCAGAGGATGGGGGGGAGGGGGTAAAATGTTGTTCGATAAAGGTTGAAATGGAGCATTTGTTGAGTGTTGAAAAGTGGATTGAGGTCGTTAGGATGGATGGTTTGTTTAATTCTAAAGCGAATGTATTTAAGTGGTTGAGGTGCATTTTTGCCAACGCTACCCTGATTTATTTTGGTCATCAAGAGAGGTGGTAGAATGAGTCAAATTCTCTGAACACTTCTAGTATGCCTGTGGAGTTTTTTTAGTCTACTTTGTTACCACCTCTATAATTTGATCTTTAAACTTTTCCTAAAGGTTCTTTAGACGATACTTATTGACTGTTTCATATTTCAGCGCGACCATCCCAGTACCCAACAGGAATGAAGAAGACTCAGCTCCACCATTGGCTCGATCTCAATACTCTTAGTGAGGATCTCTTCCACGATTAAATCTCACTCACTCACTGTCTCCTTCTTTCCACTCTCTTCAAGATTGCATTTATTTCCTGCAATTTGCGCGCTCTCTCTTTTTTATACTCCCTATCTCCTCGAATTTTATTGTACTATTTCTAACCTTTTATGACCAACAACAGTATATCCACCCTACCTACTGATTTCAAAATTAGTAGTTTTAACATAAAAGCTTTTCTCTGTTCACTCTCTATCACAAACTCTCCCTCTTCCACTTGTATATACGGAGATTGCTTTTATCTATGCAAAACTACGTGTAACCGTTCGCCACTCGCGGTTTATCGGTGGTTGTTTGTGAAATGAAAAAGAATGCATGGGTGTCTAAAAAATGCGAGTTGTTTTATGCTTTTTTTGACGGAATGAAGGTTGTGACCACATGAAGATGTGTTTTAATGAAGGCGTTTCATGAGAGAACGTGAGTTTGTATCAATTAAATGCCGAGTTTGGGTTTCATCGCGCACTTGAGATGTTCTCACGAAATTATGCTGCAGTTGATGAATGAGCTAAATCGGTAATTGGATGCTCTGTGTGTGTGCGTGTGTGATTGCCTAGGTCAATTTTCCGGTATGTTTTTAATTACATTGGAAGTAATTAAATGTGAATGGTGCCATTTTGGTTGAGAAATTCTCTACCACTTTATATTTTAAAAATTGTAGTAACCTCAGGTTATATATTGAGTAAACAGTCTGCAGCCGGAGCTCAGTCAATGTGTACCCCTCCTCATATAAGATGAAATAAAAACTGTACATTTTTAATTCAAAGAAGTCAACAGATTTTTCTTGCAAAAAATGTAAAGTTGACTGTCATCAAATTAGTCAAGAGGGAAAATGAAAAATAACCGCACATAATTTCAAAAAATGCCTAGATGAACCCTCAAATAGGTCAAAGGCGAAAGAGTGGAAGTAATTAGATAATTATTTAGCAGTGTAATGAATTCAAATGCCTTACAATGAAAGTGATCGCATATGGTTGTCACCTAAGTGCCAATGAGATTAGTGAGTCATCATATTAGTCCTGCTGAGATAAAGTACGAAATTAATTGGTTTAAGGTAGAGAACGGCAAGGTTCACTTCCACTGCACGCACGCGTATTAGTGTGTAGTAAGGAGATCGGAAGGGGATGCAAATTTTAAATGAATGTTGTCCAAAACTTTACGAGATATTAATGATCAAAATATTTGTCTCAAAAATGAAGTTAATAGTCCATATTTAGCAGATACGGCAGTAAGCGAATTCCTGTTGATAGTACTATGTAGCATGTCCTATAGCTCCAATAATTTAGTTGCCAATATTTCTCTGCCTACCTGAGGTGTTGAAGTATTGCTTGACAAATGTAACGTGGTACAATCTCAGTACATGATATAAACCAAGATACAAAATGAGTCGACAAGTTAGATTAATTCCTAACCCTTCAAAATTTATATTTCGAAAATCAATCTTCATTTTCTCCGTTTTAATTCAGTTTTTTTATTGCAAATAATAATTTACGTTTTTTCCTGCGGTGTTCATTTAAACATGTTTCTTGAATGCTTGTGGCTTTGAGAAAAACAATAACTTTAATAATCTAATTATTTAAATTAGGTTGGTTACGAATATTACAACATGATAAAAAGAAAAAAGTTCATAAAATTATTTCAATCCCTTGGGATTGAGTTAATTTCCAAATAGAGTCAAATTTCACACCTCTATCCAGGGAGCCAATCAGATCCGTTAGAATCTCTCAAAGTTAACCAATCAATACCCAATGCGTATGCACCTATTTTGTTTATGTAAATTATGCCTTTTTACAGAAAATGTATTTCAGATCAGATATTGTTTTAACTAACGACAAAAAACGAAAATAATGATAAATCTCGTATTATTTTTAATTTGAATAAACTGAAATGATGAGAATTTTGTTGCCAACTCTATGACAAAGCTTATTTCAAATAACCTTAGGCGACATTTAATGTCTCAAAAAGGATCTGATAGACATAGCCTTTTCGCTTGAGTGCTTCTAGTAATAATAACAAAGTGTGGACATTTTATAATTGTTAACATGAGTTAGATAAGTGGGCAGTTATTGACGGCTTCTAAAGTCAATAATTGTTGTCATAACGAAATTCCCTTCAAAGGTGGGAGTATAGAAATCCAATAATCGATCTTAATTGCTCGAGGGTTTAAGGAAACTAGCTCCACTCAAATGTTTCTAAAATAATGGATTTATTTCCGTAATAAATGCACAAAAGCTTCACGCAAATGTTGTTAACATTAATTGCACCCGAAAAAAACACGTTTCCTGAATTAATTGAGATAGAGAAGTGGAATATCGAGCGTAATTTCGAGAGGGTGAGAGTGTATGCTAGAACAGTGGAGAGAGAGGTGTCTTCAAAACGAGGCGTGAATTGGCCAGTCAGGCGTCGGATATCTGGGCTGGAGGGGGGG